CCAGGTCCTCAAGAGAGACAGTCCTGGGTCATAAAACATGTATGTTTTAATCTTTATATTTATTTATATATTTTAAATTAAATACATTTCAAAAGGGGCAGAGCAAGAATTTACAAGTTTTTTAGATTAAATAATCTAAGAAAGGAGAGGTGGTGGTTCTATTCCCTTTTTGCACCCGGAGAATGAAATTGCCCCCCTATTCTGATGTGTATTTTGCTCTTGCCCAGCTCATCAGGGTGTCTTGAAGGGGGTCGGAGGGAACCGGCCTGCTTGCACCTGGAGCAGGGAGAGGCCACACAGAGAAGCAGGCTGTGAGAGGTTAGTTCAAGTTCAGGAGCATTACACCTGTGAGGAACTGGCAGGGTGTCATTGAGTTCCAGAGGTGTTGGCTCTTCTTGACTGGGGAGTGGGGAGCCTGGAGCCACAGGCCACCAGAGCACTGAGCTGTCCCCTGGAGAAGCCCAAGCCGACCAAATCCTTTTGAAACATAGATTCCAGGACCCGCTTGATTCGGTTTCTGGTCAATTGCTTTCTGTGTCGTTGGCAAATCAGAGTCTTAGAACGGGAATACAATCCAGCTAATGTTCGCACAGAGCCTGGGCTGGATGTGCCTCTGCTCCTGCCGTGATTTTGGAGCAGGAAAAAAAAAAAAGAATCTGGTGAGTTTCCATGCCTGGCTCAGCATCACGCCACTAGGACACAGAGGAGGCAGGACTTACCCTCAGTTTTAACTACAAACTTTGTCCTCTCCAGCCTGCTCCACTGCCCCCTTGCTTTTTCTTGACCTCAACTTAAGATTTAAAATTTTTAAAAAGTCTAATGTGAGAACCCCCCACCCCAGGAAGTTGAACTGAAGTGTCTGTTGGATAAGAACGTCTGTGATGAGGAAGGAGCGTTGCTCTGACAATTAATGCAGGTCTCCTGTAAGCAGGTCAGGTGCAGGTGCAGATGTAAGAGAAATGGGCTTGGCCACTGTGCAGATATGATTGATGGCCATAAACCCAGGCCCCCAGGAGTCCCGGCCCACAGGTTGAGAGCCACTTAAGCCAGAACAGAGCTCTCAGTTTCCGGGGAGACTGAGGCCCTAAGAGGAGAAGGGACTTGCCCAAGGTCACTTAACGACTGCAGTTCTGGGCCCCAGTTGTCCGGATGCTTGTGGGCCTGGAGTCCTTCACAACAAGGTCTCTCCCAGGCCCAGGCTTCTCTGCTTGGCTTGCTTGCATTGTTCTGTCTCCTTAGCAACCAAGAGGCATCTGCGGTGGGTTTTGTTTTCTTGAATATAATCAGGGCTCCTGTCCTCTCACAGCAGGCAAGGGGTAGCTCCGATCCTGCTTCTCACCCTTGCGCATCCTGCAGGTGCCCCTAGAGCCTGACTCTAAGGCCAGGGCTGGGAGGGGACCCGAGGGCTCAGCCACAGCACCCCCGTCACAGAGGGAAATTTCTGGCTCACTCCCATGATTTTACAGTAAGTCACTCCCATGATTTTAGAGAGTTTACAATAAAATGATAATTCAAACAGGCTTTGCTGGGCAGCTGTCCTTCCTGCTATCTTGATTCAACGCTACTAAAACTAGAGGGTTTATTTTGAGGTAAGACTGTGTGTGAGTGTCTTTGTGTCCCAGGGCTGCTGTGACAAAGAACTACAAACCGGGAAGTTTAAAACAACAGAAATTTATGATCTCACAGTTCTGGAGGCCAGTGTCTGAAATCAGTAGCACTAGGTTGGACTCCTGGTGTCTGCAGGGCTGCGCTCCCTCCGGAAGCTTTAGGGGAGGATTCTCCCTACCTCTATCATGTCCTGGGGGCCCTAGGCATCCTTGGCTTGTGGCCACATCACTCCAGTCTCTGCCTTCATGGTCCCATGGCCGTCTCTGCTTCTGAGTGTGTCACACCTCCCTCTTGTAAGGATCTGCAAGATGACACTGGGTCCACCCAGATGATTCAAGATAATTGCCCCATCGCAAGATTCTTAATTTAATCACATCTGCGACGACCTTTTCTCCAAGTAAGGTCACATTTATAGGTTCCGGGGCTGAAGACCTGGCCTATTTTAGGGACTGTAGGTGGCCAACCATGGTGAGTATGAACCACTGGACTAAGTTCTTGGAAGTCATGGGGTTACAGGAAGGACAAGAAATAGTGGCTCCTTAGCATGCGCTCAGATGGCTAAGTGTGTCTCTTTGCTCTAATTTCTCTAAATTTCTAGAAATTTCTCTATTTTTCTAGAAATTAGAGCTAATGGAGGTTAGCTCAGGCTTTGAGTTGGACGGACCTGAATTGATGACTTTGCTCTCTACTCACGAGCCCAGTGGCAAGTTCACTGAACCATCCGAGCTTTACTGTCCTTACCTGTAAGCAGGGCTGGAAGCAGAATGTCACCCAAGGTGCTCTTAAGTAGGACGCTAAATGCTTGATAGTGGCCCGGCCTCATGGGAAGATCCTAAAAACGGGAGCTTTCAGTATAAAATAGAGTTTTTATTGAAGCAATCATTGCCCTGTCACTTTACTGAGACCAATCGTAAGAAAGAGTGGGGGAGACAGCGCTGGAAAGCCAGAGGATGCCCTGGAGCCCCCTTCCCAGAGTGGGCTGTCCCCCCCAGCTCTGCAAGCTGGGTCCTTCCAGATTGGACCCTGCTCTGTGAAACCCTGACCGGACTGACTCCTTCCTCCCCAGATCTCCCTAAACAGGGTTGGCTCTCTGTTTCGCACATTTCATTCTCATACATTATCTTTTAATTGAAAGTTTATAAGCTCTTTAATCTTGCACATTGTAGCTGAAATAATGTACACTTTTGTAGCTTTATTGAATAATGAATCTGTCGCCTCCCAGATGACCACTGAACTTGCCTTTCGTGGCAGGTTTGAGGGAGAAAGATAAAAGCATTTCACTTGCAATGCTGACAAAATGTGGCTTTAAGAAAAAGCATAGATGCCCTGGCCAGTGTGCCCCAGTTGGTTGGGCATCGTCTCGGGCACCAAGAGGTTGTCAGTTCGATTCCTGGTCTGGGCACATGCCTGGATTGTGGGTTCCATTCCTGGTGGGGATTGTGCAGGAGGCAGCCAATCAGTGTTCAGCGCTCACATCGATGTTTCTCTCTCCCTCTCCCATCCTCTCTCTCTTAAAATCAATAAAAATATTTGAAAAAGAAAAGGCATAGGAGAAATAATGAGGACTCTGAGGAACATCAGCCTTTGAAGGCCTTGGCAAAGTATTTCCTTGTTGGTCTTCATTTGTGGTACAAGGTCCATAAGGAGCTTCACCGACTGTCTTCCCACTGTCCCCAGCCATTGTTAAGTGCCAGGCGTAACAATAATAAATGCAGGCTTTGTCTTTAAGGAACCTTTTGTTTGGTACAGGAGGTAAAACCTGCACATAAATCACAATAATTCATGAGATGAAGTTATAAGGCCCCTGGGTGAGTGTCCTGGGGCTGCCGTAAAAAGTACCTCACAGGTGGGTAGCTTAACACAACGGAAATCTATTCTCTCAGTGTTCTGGAGGCTAGAAGTCTGAGATCAACGGGTGGGCAGGGCCAGGCTCTCTCTGTAAGCTCCAGGGGAGGTTCCTTCTGCCTCTTCCAGCTTCTGTGGTTACTGACAGTCATTGGTGTTCCTTGGCTTGTGCCTGCATGCTTCCACTCTCTGCCTCTGTCATCACACGGAGTCCTCCCTATGTGTGCCTGTGTCCTCTCCTCTTCTTATGACACCTGCGATTGGATCAGGGCCCACCCAAATCCAGTGTGACCTCATCTTAACCTGGTTATCTGCAAAGACGCTGTTTCCAAATAAGGCGTCCACGGGAGACAGACACAGGCAGGTGCTCAGGAAGAAAGAAAAAAACATATGATGTGGCCCCTGCTCAGGAGACCCTTGCAGGGCTCAGACCCCCCAAGGGGAGTTTTGGGTCCCATGGGGCTGTGGCACCCCAGGCCTTGTCCCTCACATTCAGTAGTGTCCTGCTGTGGGCTTATTCACTCTTTACATTGAGGTAATTTGTGCACAGTGAAACACACAATTACACCTCTACATAAGTTATAAACCCAAGATAGCACTTTCACTTTTATTTTGGTATTTGACTTTTAAAAAGTTTAAAGCCAGAAAGAGAAATGTTGTTTTTTCTTTTTTTGTTAATCCTCACCAGAGAACATTTTTCCATTGCTTTTCAGAGAGAGTGGAAGGGAGGGGGAGGGAGGGAGAAAAACATCAATGTGAGAGAGACACATCAATTGGTTGCCTCCCACACACGCTCCGACTAAGGTTGGGGATGGAGCCTGCAACCCACGTGCCCTTGACCGGGAATAAAACCCGAGATCCTTTGCTGCACTGGTTCTCTAACCACTGAGCAATGCTGGCCAGGGTGAGAAATAGTTTTTTATGTTCCCATGCTTCCTTTTATTATATGGACCCCGGTTCCCACTCGTGTCATTTCCTTTCATCCTGAAGCACTTCTTTTAACCTGGCACAGATTTGCTTGCTACGCTTGTTTATCTTGAAATGACTTTTCTGCTCCTATTCTTGAAGGATATTTTTGCTGAATGTAGAATTCTGGGTTGACTGTTACTTCTTTTAGTCCTTTAAAATTTTTATTTTGTTGTCTTCTGGACTCCATGATTTTCTGACGATAACTCAGCTGTCATTCTCATTGTTTCCTGTATTTTAGTGTCTTTTTTCTCTGGGTGAGTGAATCTTACCCATTTATGATTTTGTGACATCCTGCATTGTCATTTGAAAGATATTGGCTCATTGAGTCATGCAGAACTTCCAGAGTGACATCATTCATCTCACAACGTAGACATTGACACTCATTATTGCCACTGATCTCACCTGAAGAGTGTTTAAGGAGCAGCTGTTGAGCAGACAGTGGTGAATACAAGATTCCCCAAGTTCTAATTTTCACTTGAAAGCTCCAGTTTTCACCGTGGCAACAAATACTATCACCTGTGTCCCTCAAAGGGACAGGCTGTTTATTTTCTAGAAAGGGTCTACCCCATACACAAGTCTGAATATGCACAGCCTTTTTATTATTCATTTTTCAAATCACACAAAGATGTTCCCTGAAAATATCAGGGAGTTCACATTGCAACTCAGTCCCCCAGGGCTGTCCTCAAAGGCAGCCAGCACACACTTCCCTGTTCCTCACAGGTATTCAAAGGCTGCGCTCACCCTGGCCGGGTGCTCAGTTGGTTGGAGCATGGTCCCGCACTCAAGGTTGTGGGTTTGATTCCGGTCACTACACATACAGGGGCCACCGATCAATGTTTCTCTCACATCAGTATTTCTCTCTCTTTTTCTTCCTTCCTCTGTCTCAAAAAATAAAAATAAAATAAAATCAATAAACATATCTTTGGGTAAGGATTAAAAAAAAAGACTGTAGTCAACTGTGGAAATTTATTACAATTGAAAATGTTAACATTTCATCAAGGACATTCTTAACGTGTGGGCAGAGAGGGGCACTGCCACATCTGGTACAGCTGCCTTATTTGTGCTAAGGTCCCCTTATCATACCCACTGTGGCTTCTGCGCCATTCATGCAAAGATGGCTCAAAACAGGATCTTGCAGACCCTCTGAAAGGATCTTAGGGCTGCCTAGGGTTCCTTGAAGCCCACTCTGAGAACTGCTGATATGAAAGCACATAGGGCTGTGTGTGTGTGTCCCCTTTTCCTTTCCACCCTGTCCTCCTTGGGCAGCTGGAGTGCCCAGCTGGTTGGTGAGGCCCCATGGGTGTGGCACTGCTTTGGGGCGGCTGCAGCTCTAAGCCTCCAGCCAGGCTCTGGGTTCAAGCACAGAGCATCCTGGGGAGCTTCTCTCTGCTTCTCAGTGCCCCTCACCCCCCACCCCGTCCATCCGCCCTGCCTCTGTGGGGCTGTTCCCATTGAAATGACCAGGAATTGAGTTGGATGAGGGTTGGATGCAGCTCTGGTTACACCCCATTGACTTGGGTCTCCAAGGTCTGGAAGGTGAGCTCAGGCCACTTTCCTCAGGGGGCTCTAGGACTGAACTCTGTCCACCCAGGATTTGAGACATCTTTCTTCCAGTTGCTCTCCCTCAGGGAGCCCTTAGGAGAGCGGATTGGGCCTGGCTTTCAGGTTCAGATATTCACACCACCCATGGATGTGGGAAGTACACCTGGCTTCTTCTCATGCCCCGGAGCCGGCCAGCCAGCCTGCCAGGGCGCTGCTGGGCTTTGCATGGCTTGTCCCTCTGGAGTCGTCTCTCCGTCTCAAGGTCATCTGGTTAGCACCCTCAACTCCCCTGTGCCGTGTAAGAAAACAGATTCATACGTTCTGGGGCTTAGGACATGGTCAGCTTTGGGGCCGTCATTCCGCCAATCACACCATCCCTTGAAGCTTTTTGTATCCTTGCTACCTGTGTTTGAAACCAGTTAGGTCTGTACCTTCGTGCACTTGCATTTTCCACTCAGCGTCATTAGGTCAGTGCGTGGTCAGGAACACACCCTAACACTGCGGGGGGATTCCCCCGGGGGGCATTAATGGGCGGAAACATATTTGTGGCTCCTCAAACCAGCTTCCAGGAGAGGTGCTCCGTGGCTGGGAGGACTGTGGTTGTTTCCTTTGGAGTTTGTGTTCTGGCATGGGAAGGGCGGCAACGCTCTATGCATACAGGGTGTCCTTCCATGTTTGGGGCTGGTTGCCCCCGGCTATTCTGGGCACTGATGTCATCCAGGCTTAGCAGGGCCAGGGCTCAAAGGCTTGTCTGTGTCATGGATGAAGGGCAGAAAGCTATCAGGACGAGTGTCCAGGACACTGGGGTGGTCAACCACAGACTCTGTGAAGGGGAAGCAGTGGTCTAGTCATCCCTGCCAGGTTGCAAGATCCAGTCTCCTTCCTACTTGTCCCTGCCCCAGCTGACAAGCATCCCTCAGCAGGGGAACCTCCTATCCCTCCATCTGTACTCGCTAGAAAGATGCTAAGAGTCTGTGCTCCTGTTGTGTGGGTATTTCTCAAACTTGTTAGTGAAGAATCTGCTGGGAGCTGATTAAACGCAGGTTCTCAGGCCCAGCCTGTTTCAGCTGCTAGGGGGAGGTGCTGGAATGTGGACTCCTCACTAGTTCAGGGGATGCAGATGCAGCCATGGGGAGAAGAGGGCTCTTGGGACCTGGGGCCAACTGCATTCAGAGAACCTCTCTCCTAAGTTGCCCCTGTTGGCGAGGTGGCTGTTAGGCAAAGGGAGAGAGGCCTGCTTTGCCAAGGCAGGAAGGACATGCAGGCAAACCCTGCTATTCTAAGCTGTCACCATTGAGAGCCCTGGTGAGGGCAGGTCTCTGAGCCAGGCTGGGGCCCTGGCACAGAAGGGACCCCAGTTGCAGCCAGGGGGTGGCCATGTGCAGGGCAGTCTGGGCCAGGTGTGCACTTTGCTTCAGTGCTCCCAGCAGTCCTCATGGGGCGGGGGCTGTGGCAGCAAGTTGCACCCCCCTGAGCCGGCTGCCCCTTCCATAAGAACAGTGACAGGACAGGCCTTACCTCGGGTGTGTGGAAGCAGTTTGATTACCACCGGGCACCTGCTGGGACTCTGCCTGGGAGCCCCCTGGCTTCTCTATGTTCCCTTCATCCAAGGCTGACCCCAGTCTGGGCCCCTCTTGTCCTGGCTGGTGATTTTTGCTGCTCCTTCCCTTTCTGTGGAAATTGACTCACTTCCAAGCTCTGTAAGGTCGTCCATCTCCATGTCCTCCTGAGGCCCCTTCCTGGGTGTGATGGGCCACCTTCCATCCCTCCTTGCCCCCTCCCATCCCCTCCCTCTGTGTCCTCAGGAGACAAAGGACCTGAAGGCTTGGCCAGTCTGCAGCGTGCTAGGAAAGCAGGCTTTGATCCTGGCTTGCTGGCCCACATAAGAGTTGCTGCTGACCCCTGGTGCCAGGAATGTTCACCTGCAGCGCTTCCTGGAGCTAGGCTGTCCCTGGGGGTGTGTGGGCGAGCAACGCTGTGGATGGCAATGATCTGGGTGTGGACTGGTCATTTAGGACCATCACAAGACTCTGGGACAGTGGCCGTAGCAGGTGGTGGTGGCAGGTTCTGGTGTAGGTGGTGGAGTTGCTGGGTGGGGGGCTTGAGAAGGCAGGTCTCCTGATGGAGTCTATGGTGTGGGAAACCCAGGGTCTGAGAAGGAAGGGGGCAGGAGGGTATTTAGCCCTACCCTGCGGCGGGGGGGGGGGGGGGGGGGGGGGGGGGGGGAGGGGGGACAGATCGCGAACAGTGAAGGGGCAAGGGACCCAGTTGTAGGGCACTTAGTGAGTTGTGTGGTGCTGCCCTAGAACCTCCAAGCTGAGCCACCTCTCCATGCCTGGGTGAGGGCAGTAGGCTACAGAGCCCAGGACTCCCCTGGTGACAAGGCCAGCAGTTCAGGTCTGGGTCAAGGGTCAGGGTTGGCTCTGCCTACTGAACTCTCTCAGAAGGGGCTGCACAATCATTGAGCACACCCCCACACACACTTACAGGTATGGAAACAGGCTATTTTCTGTATGGCACTGTCTTCCATTCACATCTGCCCTCCTGTGGTCACTTTGTGTAGGGATGGGGCTCTTGAGGAGGCGTAAATATGCTGGACAATGGTCTCCCCCATCTGATGAGTCTGTGTTGCATTTCTTCCTCCTGTTGAGCATCTATTGCTTGTAAGAAGCCATATCCCTGCCCTGACCGGTTTGGCTCAGTGGATAGAGCGCCGGCTTGCGGGCTGAAAGGTCCCAGGTTCGATTCCAGTCAAGGGCATGTATCTTGGTTGCGGGGCACATCCCCAGTAGGGGGTGTGCAGGAGGCAGCTGGTCAATGTTTCTCATCGATGTTTCTAACTCTCTATCCCTCTCCCTTCCTCTCTGTAAAAAATAAATATATATATTTAAAAAGCCATATCCCTGATGTTCCCCAGCATCTTTTTACAATTTATGCACAGTAAAATTCACTGCTAGGTTTAATTTTTCGAGAACAGTGTGAGGATATCAAAGGGTCTCCCTTCATTCGGTGATCTAGCTTAGAGGCAGAGCTTCCTGAACTTTCCTTGCAAATTAATGCAGAACAATGCAAAGGAGGAGCAGGGCCAAGGGTCTGTGCGCCTCTCCCACCCCACCCCAGGAGGGCTGAGGCCAGGCTGATTTTTTAGAGGACAGGCCAGCTTGGCTCCCATGGGACACTCCCCCAACCCTTTCCCGGAGCCCAGGCCCCTAACGGTATGGGAATCCTGACTGTCCGGTGGCCCTGGCCAAGTGATCCTGTCTGGTCAAGCCCTGGTACTCAGGCCGAGCTCGGAGCAAGCAGGAGGTGTGTGTTTGGCTCTTGCCTGCGGATGATGCCATGGAGACTGTTCTTGTCCAAACACAGCTTGTTATGTTAGCCTGTCACTTCTGTGGGGCTGGGTGGGAGGGAAATTTGCCTTGAGCCTGGAGAGTGAGTCTGGGTGGGTGGCAGGAAGATGGAGAAAGGTCAAAGGTCAGAGTTCACATTTATCCACTGTAGGCTGCTGAGTGAAACCATGTTTGCTACTTCAAGCAAAGTTGGAAAGGGCTGATGGTGTGTTTTCTAGCAGGGACACCAGGCTGGAGGGTGGCCCAGTTACCCTGATGCCAAACGGCAAGGGCATGACTAGACTCTACTGGAGTTGGCCTAATATCGTCCAGTTCAGCCATGGCACAAGCAACCCCCACAGAACCAGACAGACTGGGGCTGGGGTACCCCTGTTCCTCACCCCCACTGCAGCCGCCACAGGAGCCATGCTACACCTAGTTCAGGATTTGGTCCCCTGGTCCTAGGGGTCATGGGGTCCTCTCCCCTGTCCACCTTCTTCTTTGGTGCCTATTGACTGCCCCTTCTCTCCCACCAGCGTTGGTAACAACAGGGCCTCATTCTCCCCAAGATGCCCATCCCACGAACCTTGGTGGCCTGTGACCAGATGGGTGACATCCAGGTCCCTGGAACCAAGCAGGGTGGGAAGACTATCAGCTGGGTAGGATTAATTAAGCCCTTTCTTTTTGGTGTCTGGTGGCCAAAGCAGAGCTTCTGGTTGGATCCTGCGGGGGAGGGGATGGGGCAGCAGTGGGCCTAGAAGTTCCAGTTCTCCCTGCGCCCCAAGTGGGTACAGAGCTGGCAGGGCAGCAATTCTCTGTGTGTGGTTGCATCAGACTGACCTGGAGCTCGGCCCAGCTCTCAGAACCACTAACGTGTGACTCTGGCAGGGGGCCTGGTCACGCCAGACTGCAGGGGCCTGTGTGAATGCCGGACTGGTGTGGTGGGCCTCTGGGTGCTTGGTTCACCCAGCCTAAGGTGCCTAAGGTGCTGGCCAGCGTGCGCCCCACCCTGCGGGGCCCCTGTGCAGAGAACTAGGCTGCTTCATCACTCCACTCATCAAACTGAACTTCTTTATTAAGTGCCAAGGATCCAGGCGGGTGCTGCCACCTGTAGTCCCCTCTGCTGAGGCCTGTGCGTGGTGCGTTTCCCAGGAGCCAGAGTCTCCACCACCTGGGACCTGCGGGTGATCCCGTCCCTCTGAGCGGCAGGCCGGCAGGCCCTGGCTCCCGGAGAGCAGCGGGCGTGTGAAGCGGTTTCCAGCTTGTAGTGTGGCCGCCGGTCACTTCACGTGCTCGGCGGCGTGCGAGGAACAGTAATACTTCTTGTGGGCGATGAAGGTGGACAGGCTGCTGAACTTGATGTTGCACAGGCGGCAGTACCTGTGGTTGCCGTTGGGCAGGGAGGCCGGCGTCCCCTTGCTGGGGGTCTGGACGCCCTTGTCCGAGTGGGAAGGAGGCGTCGGCGGGGCTGAGGGCGGGCCGGGCCGGGGACTGCCGTCTGGAGGGCCGGTGGGTGGCTCCTGGCCGTTCAGGCCATCGCGGGGGGCAGCGGGGGAGGGCGTCCGGGCCTCTGCGCCCGGGCCCGGGCCAGTCAGGGGCTTGCCCAGCAGCAGGCCGTGCGCCAGGCGCAAGTGCTCGACGAGGTCCCCGTGAACCAGGCCGTTCGGGGGGCAGTAGGGGCACACGACGGCGGGGTCCTCGGGGGCGCGCGGGCGCCGAGGCGCGGCGGGGCACGAGAACTTCTTGTGCGCCAGGTAGGCCTCGAGGCTGTGGAAGCTCACGCGGCAGGCCGTGCACTCGTGGTAATCGGCCAGCGCGGGCAGCACGGGCGTGGGGCCGGGCACGGGAGCGGCGGCGGCCTGGCGCCGCGGCTTTTTGCTCAGGTCGATGGGGCCCTCCGCTGGGTCCGGCCCATTTCCGCTTCCGGGCCGCGGCGAGGGCGAAGCGGAAGGCTCGGGAGCCGGGGCTGGCGCGGGCGGGGCGGGGCCTGGGGCTGCGGGGGCGGGGCTGGCCGCCTGCCGCTCGTAGAGCTTCCGGCGCCTGCGCGTGCGCATGGGCGGCAGCGCGGGTGCGGGGATTCCAGGGGTTCCCGGGGGCGCGGCGGGCGCGGGCCGTCGCGGTGGCGGGTCGTGGCGCGAGGCGCAGTAGTAGCGCTTGTGCACCATGTAGGTCTCATGGCGGCTGAAGCGAATGTTGCAGGCCTCGCACAGCGTCCGTCGGGGGTCGTCGTCCTCGTCCGCCCCGCTGCCCGGGCTCGGGCTGCCCTCACTGCCCCGGCCGCCGCCGCCGCCGCCGGTCTCTGCGTCGGGCGTGGTCGCGCCCCCCGCCGGGTCCTCGCGCGCCCCCGGGCCTGGCGACGAACTTGGCGTGTCGGGTTCAGCGGGCGGCGGGGCAGGGAGCGCGCGCACCGGGGTGGGGGGCGCCTTGGGCCGGCGGGCGGGGGCCACGTCGTCTGGCGCGCGGCGGCCGGAGCAGTAGAGGCGCTTGTGCACGTAGAAGTTGCTGACGTTGTTGAAGGTGATGTCGCACTCAAAGCACGTAGCGCCTTTGGGGGCCCCCGCCAGTAGGCCGGCCTGCGCCCCCGCGCCCACCCCCACCTGCAGCCTGCTGTGCACCAGCTCGGACATCTTGGCCAGGATCTCCGAGGCTGGGGGCGCGGCGGGGAATTGTGGCAGGAAGAGCGCACCAGGGCCTGGGCTGGAGCCGGGCGTGGGGCTGGGCAGCTCAGCCTTGACCCGGGCGGGAGCGGAGCTGGGTGGTGAGGGTGTCCGCGACGAAGGGGCTGGGGGCCCTGGCTCCGCCTCGGGCTCCTCGGCCACCTCCACCTTGATGCTCCTGGGCGCTGCTGGGGGCTCGCTGCTGCCCCCGTTCTGGGGGGCCGTTCTGGCCTCTCCATTGGTGGCCTCGCCCAGGGCTTTCCTGTCCAGTCCTGGTGATGAGGTGGACCCCAGGCCCAGGTCGGAGGAGGCCAGGGGGCCATGCAGGGCAGTGAGCTGCTGAAAGCCGGGTAGACTGTCTGCAGGGAGACCCCAGGGGCCAGACTTCAGGGCTGGAGCAGGACCTGCCTGGGCCAGACCTGAGGAAGGGGCAGGGTGGGAAGGGAGAGCTGGGCTGGGCTGGGCAGAGGTGGTCGAGGGCCAAGACCGAATTGACCCTCTCGTGTCTCATGGACTAGCCCCCTCCCAGCCCTCAGAGGGGGCCCCTGGGGCTCACCTGGGGGGAGCTTGGCCGAGGGGTGCCCGACCCCTGGCGAGTAGATCTCAGCCTTGGAGCCTGGCTGGCAGACCATGTGGTTGGTTACCAGGTGGCTGTAGAGGATGTCCCTTGTGGTGGAGATGAAGCCACAGCTGTGGCAGACACCTGCAGATGGTCTGTGGTGTCAGGACCCTGGAGCCAGTGGGCTCCACAGACACCCCCTGACCCGCCTCCTGCCCCCTTCCCAGCCTGCTTACCGCTCTGTGTGTCTGTGTGCACCTTGAGGTGCCGCTCGCAGTTGGCCTTGGTGGTGAAGGCCGACAGGCAGATGAGACACACGAAGGGGCGCTCGCCTGGAACACAGGGCCCAGTGAGGGGCCTGACATGGGCTGTGTGTGGAGGGCTCTTCAAGCCTCCCAGGACCCCGGCCCGGGCCCAGCCCGAGCTGACCATCCAGACAGCCACAGAGGGGCCTTATGCCCTGGGAGCTGTGGGAGGCTGTGTGGTATGGTGGGAGGACCACACAGGCGCATCTGTCGCCTGGGCGCAGTGGGCACGCTATCAGCAAGCAGGCGGGGGTCCTGAGGGGGCGTGGAGCCTCACCGCTGTGGCTGCGCATGTGGATCTCCAGGGAGCTGGCACTGGGGCAGCTTTTGCGGCACTGAGGGAAGGGGCAGACACGCTCGTTGGGGTATGGCTCCTTGGGCTTCTCGTCAGCGGCGGCTGTGGCAGGGGAGCCGGCACTCTGGCGGCTGGCACAGTAGTACAGGAGGTGAGCTTGCAGGTTCCGCTCACTGCGGTACCAGATGCCGCAGTCCTTGCAGGGGAAGACATCTTCTGTGGGGCAAGAGGTGGGTGAAGCCTGAGGGGACATTCCGGAAGCAAGAGGGGCCGCCTGCAACCCAGGGCCAGGCAGTGGACTCTGCAACGTGAGGGCTCTGCCCTGGCTGCCTCTGGCGTCTTCCTGCTTTAAGCAGTAGGTTTGTGACCTGGTCTTCCTCCTCCCATCACAGCTGCCCTTTCTTATCTGTCCTTATATAACCCGGGGTGCCCTCTCTGTGGGTTTCCAGGATGCCCTCCAGGCTGCCTTCCAACAGTGAGCCCCATAAGGAGATGCTGTGGCCTCATGGGGTGTTCATGGGAGGAGCATGGGCATGCTAGTGGACACCTGCAGGAGTGAGACGGGTCCAGGACGTGGTTATGTCAGTTATTCAGTGGGGGTGACCATGTACAGGTGAGGAAGGTGGGCAAGCGTGTGCCGGTGCATTTGTGCTGGTAAG